GAGAGAGAGCATGCGAGTGGGGGAGAGGGGCAGAGGGAGGGAGAGAGAGAGAGAGAGAGAGAGAGGCAATCTTAAGTAGGCTCCTCGCCCAGCACAGAACCCAGTGTGGGGCTCGATACCACGACCCTGGGATCATGACCAAGGCCAAAATCAAAGTCTGATGCTCAACCAACGGAGCCACGCAGGGGCCCCTGGAGGCATCAAGTGAGATCAGCTGGTGTCAGGCCATCCCTCCAGGGGCCCCCAACACAGAGCAGCAGCCTGGTCTGGGTGTGTGCATAGAGGTGTGCGGGAGGGCCAGGAGCCTCACCTGGAAGAAGGGGTGGCTCTTCACTTCCTGCGCCCCCTGGGGCCCCGCGCCCAGCCGCTTCCTGGGGTCTTTGCAAAGTAGCCGCTGCAGCAGGTCCTGCGCCACGGGCCCGATCCGGGGGGGGAAGGGAGGGGAGCACTTCAGGATCCGTCTGGGAGGATTGGGGGGGCGTCAGGGGCAGCGAGCCCCCTCCCCAACCCTGCCCAGGCCCCTCAGCCACCCTCCTCGCCCAGTCCCCCGCACCGGGACACCTCCGCCTGCGTGTTCCTCTCGCCCTCCAGGGTGAAGGGCGAGGCCCCCGTCAGCAGCTCGAAGAGCAGGATACCCAGGCTCCACCAGTCCACAGCCTGCCGGGGCAGAGCCGGGGTCAGGGCCCACGGCCACCCCCGCCTCACCCCGCCACTACTCCCCACCCGCTCCCCTGCCAACCCACCTTGCCATGCCCCGACTTGCTGCGGATAATTTCGGGGGCCATGTACTCGATGGTGCCGCAGAAGGAGAAGGTCCGTTCTTTCTGGGAGGGCGAGAGGACACGTTGGGACACCCAGCGGTCCCCAAGGCTCAGAGCAGGACTCGCTGGACTTGCGAGGGTCGGAACAGAGGGGGCCCCCTGAACGCAGGACCCGGGCCTGCGTCCCTCTGCGCCGCGAGAAACGCAGAGCCAGGCGTGGAGCAGGAGGAGACGGGAAGGAGAAGGCGTGAGGGGGGGTGCCGGAGGCAGCGACCTTGCCCTTGGCTCACCTCCTCCGTCAGGAACTCCTTGCTGAGCCCAAAGTCTGTGAGGACGATGTGGCCCTCGGAGTCGAGCAGCACATTTTCCAGCTTCAGATCTCGGTAGATGATACCCAGCTGGCGGGGGCAAGAACACACTGATGCGTCCTCCCCAATGTCCCCGCCTTCTACGGCCCATGTCCACGTCCACCAAGCCCCAGCTCGGGATAAGGGGACCCCCTCTAGAGAAGGGGTGTCCGGGGCAGGAGTGTGCTCAGGGACTGGGCCATGGGATGGGAAAGGCCATTTAAGATGCAAAAGCAAGGACAGAGGACAGCACGGGGACACCCCACGGAAACACGCCCCAAGGTCCCAGAGGGAGGAAAGCCTACAAAGAGGATCCCCATTTCAAGAAGGCCTTGGAAGCCAAGGCATGAGGTGTCCGTTTGAGGAAGTTCTGTGAGTGTGGCCCCAGGAGGCAGCCCGAGTTCCCTGTCGGAGGAAAGCCCCTACATGGAGGTGCCAGAGGAAGGGACCCCTCCCCAGGCAGCGCTAAGGCCTTCCTCCCGAGAGGCCTGGGAAAGCCGTTCCAGGCCCCATCAAGGCCACCAGTCAAGGCTGCCACGTGCGTGCCATGTTCTGCGGTAGCCAGGTGCCCAGGGCCTCACCCACCTTGTGCAGATGCTCCAGGGCCAGCACGATCTCGCCCCCGTACACGCGCACCTCGGCTTCTTTGAAGTGCTGGCGCTGGTACAGGTGGGTGAACATCTCACCTCCGTTCACGTAGTCTGGGAGGGGAGGGGGCGGGGGGCAGAATGGACTTTGGGAAGCAGCCCTGATTGAGGGGCCCCACCTCCAAGGCTGGCAGGTGCCCACCCTTACCCAGGATGAGGTGCAGCTTGGCGTCCGTCTGGAAGGCGTAGTGCAGCGTAACCAGGAAGGGGGCCTGGCGCACCAGCTCCAGCACGGAGCGCTCGGTGCGTGTGTGCTCCTGCGTCTTGGCGCGCTGCACCAGGGCCGCCTTGCGCAGCACCTTCATAGCGTACAGCTTCCCGGCGTCGTGCCCGACGGCTTTCCGCACCAGAAACACCTTCCCGTAGGCTGTGGGAGCCGTGAGCCAGCGGACGGTAGAGCGTGAGCAGAAGGGTGGTGCGGACCCGTGGGGGCGAGGGTGATGCCAGCCCAGGAGGGTGTGCGCGCTAGGGCGAGGAACCCGAGGGAGAGGCAAGCGTGCAAAAAGCTGCCAGAGCCTTCCAAGGAAGGGGAGGATGCGGCCCAGGAGGGGGCTCCACAAAACCAGGGAGATGTGCAAACCAGGCGGGAAGGCGCCCAGCTCCGGGGGGTGGGGGGGGGGAGGGCCAGCAGAGCAAAGTGGGGGCGGGACATGTGCAAACGCGGGGAAGATCGGACAGATGCCACATGCCAGGGGAGGCAAGCAGAGTGGACAGGGGAGGGATGTGCAAACCCATCCCGGGGAGTGTGCAATCCTGGGAGTGTGCAAAGCTAGGAGACCAGGCTCCCACATGGCGGAGGGGGGCGAAGGTGGGGGTAGGGAGCGCAAATCACTTGGGAGGGCTTGCAAGCCCTGGAGGGTGTTGGCAAATCCCGAAGGACCTTGCGGGGAGGGGCCATGTCAGTGTGGAGCGCCCTGGGAGCAGGCACGTCCCTGGGAGTGGGCATGCAAACCCTGGCAGGGATGGGCGGGGCGGGCAAGGCGGGCCGTGCCGGGAAAGGGTGGGGGGCATCGCCGGAGGCCTGGCCCTGGCCCAGGCAGGCGCGGGCGGGCCCCAGGCCTGGGACACCTGCCCCGTGGGGGTCCTCACCTCCCGTGCCCAGCACCTTGAGCAGCTCGAAGTTCTCGACGCTCACCTTCTCCTCGTGCCCTGTCAGGTTGGCTGTGGGCACAGGGGGCGAATGAGCCCAGCCGGTGCATGACCCCTCCCGGGCCGGCGCCGGCGGCCATCGGCCGGGCCCGCGCCTCCCGCGGCCGCCCCCGCCCCACCTTCGGTGATCCGCAGCTCCACGGCGCAGCCCTCGTCCTCGTCCTCGTCCCCCATGGCGTGCGGGTCGCCGGGGGTGCCCGCGCGCCTCTGCTCCGGGCGGCGCCGGTTACATGGCGGCTCCGGCCGGGGCGGGCGCTTCCTGGTGCCGCCTCCGGGGCCGAGGCGGGCGCCGGCGCCGCCTCCCGCTCCCCGCCCCGCGCGGCCTGAGTCAGGCGGCTGGAACGTGACAGCGCCGGGCGGCGGGTGGCCGGGCGGGGGCGGCCCGGCTCCCTCGGGCGCGCGCGCGGGGCAGGACGGCGGGGCTGTGCGCTCTGGGACCCCGGGCGACCCTCTGGGGACCTGGGGACGCCGTTAGGGAGCCATGCATGCCTGGGGTCCGGGGAGAACCTGGAGCCTCTACTGGGTGGGCGGACACTCTGGAGCCAGGTGTCTACCCGGGTGCCTGCCGGGGCCAGTGGTGGTGATGAGGCGTCCGAGCCCGTGCCCCAAGAAGGGGGGGGGGGGTCGCACAGGTGCTTTTGGGCCCTCCCTTCCAGGGTGCCAGCCCTAAGGCAACCAAGCATCTCTCCACTTCCTAGCCATCAGCGAAAGTGAGAAGTTGCCTGAAAGTCACCATTCGCTCACTCCTGTTTTTTTTTTTTAAATTTTTTAATGTTTTATTTATTTCTAGGAGAGAGAGAGAGAGACAGCGTGAGCAGGGGAGGGTCAGAGAGAGAGGGAGTCACAGACTGAAGCAGGCTCCAGGCTCTGAGCTGGCAGTCAGCACAGAGCCCGACGCAGGGCTCGAACCCACGAACCGCAAGATCATGACCTAAGCGAAAGTCGGATGCTTAACCGACTAAGCCACCTAGGCGCCCCCGCTCACTCCTGTTTTGATCACTCCTTGGCTACTCTTGGCCAGGTGCTGCCCGCACAGCCTCGGCCCAGAGCCTCTCACTCAGGATGGACTTGCCTTTGCAGCGGTGAGCCTGGGGGGCTCAGGCAGTGCCTACCCAGGGAGCACCTGCAGGGGGCACTGAAAGGCTGCTGGGGTCAAGTCTGACCCTGGGGGGTGGGGGGTGGGGGGCAACCTGATTTTAACCAAATCTCTTTCAAGCAGACCTGTAAAAGCACCTCAGTCCCCAGCCACCCTTCGCAGCCCAGCCAGGGCCCCCTGACAGCAGATAGGAGCCACCAACAGGGTGCGGTGGCCATCCGAGCCCCCATCCGGAGGCCTATGGGAGAGGGCTTTCAGCTCCTCAGCCCAGCTGGAGACCAGGGGTGTCCACTCCCACCGCACCGGACTCCGAGGCTTGGGCTGAGGGGAGGGCATGGCGGTCAGTATCCCCAAGAGGGGCTGTGGAAACCCCGTGAGTCAGGCCGCTGCGGACCATCCTGGGGAGGCCGGCCTGGCCACCCCTCCCGGCTCTGCTCACCCCCAGATTGAGGCTGCCTCACCTGGGCTCTGGCAGCCCCACCCTCCCCTGGGCGGCCCCAGGTGCCTTGACTCACATCCTGCCATGGCCTAATTGCCCATTTCCTGGGCGTCATTCTGGAAGCGCTGGTCAGAGACCCCACATCCTTCCCCCTTCTTGTGTCTCTCCATGAAAGCCTGTGGCACTAGGTGACATCCCACTGGGCTGAGAACTCACTAGGGATGAGGTCAACTCTACAGGGGCGGGCGGCGGGGAGAGGAAGGAGAGGAAGAAATAAACAGAGAGGAGTTTGGGAGGGAAGGGAAGGAGCCTCTGGGGCTTCAGAGAAGCCCGGACCCCATCTTCGAAGCAAAGGCTTAGCTCAGACTCGGGCCCCACCCCCTCCCACCCACCCCCGGGACATCCGAGCAAGCCCGACTGGCCTGTCCCCTGAAGGAAGCCCTTAGCTGCCCTGTGCAGGGCGAGAACACCAAGGGACACGGATTCCCACCCACACAGGGCTTGGGCCGTGTCGCTGGTGCCTTGGGACCCCTGGACAGAGCCAGTAGACACAGCACAAACTCAGGGTCATATCCCAGCTTTATTCTCGTCTCTCATGTCCCCGCTACAGCTCAGAGATCGGCCCAGGCCACTGTCCTCGGCGAATGGTCCTTGGCTCTCTGCCAATACCTGGCAGGGGGCTCTCTCGGCCACTCCTGCCTGTGTCCTTCAGCTGGGGTGTCACCCAGAGATGGCCTCCTCAGTGAGGGCCGCAGGGCAGAGCCGGGGTCCCAGGAAGGAGCCGCCCCTGGGGACCAGCTATCCCCTCTGTCCACAGGCTTCTCCCAGCACCATCTCAGCGCCCCGGTGCAGGCCTCGGAGGAGCCAGGGGCCCCTAAGGACTGGCTGCACGTGGTCCGGGTCCCTGAATTCTTGGGCTGCCTGGGGCCCCCACTGGGACTCCAGCAGTGAGAAGACTTCACTCCCAAGCCCCCCGTCCATGGGGCGTCACTGGCTGAGCGAAGGGGTGAGAGGGCGTTTCTCCGGCTCCGGCACCTCGAGGCCTGGAAGGGAAGGTTCAGCTCAAGCCGGCTCCCTCGGGAGCTCCCAGCATCCACAGTGGCCCACGGGGCCCCACCCCCTGAGCCCTCCCACTGCCCCTTGGGCCTCCTCTCCACTCTCCCCCTCCTCCCTGCAGCTGCACCAGCTGCCCCCAGGCCTTTGCTTCAGCTCTTATTTCTGGCTGGAATGCTATTGCCCTGGAATGTCAACAGGTCAAACTCTCACCTCCAAGTCTCTGGTCCAGCCTCACCTCCTCTCCAAGGACTACCCTGAGCACCTACTTAAAACTGCAACCTGCCCCGCCCAGTGCTCCTGATCTCCTCCTTCACCCTGCTCTCCGTTTTTCCCAGAGCACCTCCTGACAGTCCGGGGCTGAGCTGCCCCATACGGGACCGGGCACCAGAGATGTGGTGAATCAGAACTCCTATGTGCTTGGGTGTAAGACATCCACTGGGCTCAAAGACTTGGCAGGAAAAAAATCATATAAAATAGCTCATTAAGGGGGCGCCAGGGTGGCTCAGTCCATTGAGTGTCTGACTTTGGCTCAGGTCATGATTGCGCGGTTTGTGGGTTCAAGCCCCACGTGGGGCTCTGTGCTAATAGCTCAGGGCCTGGAACCTGCTTCGGATTCTGTGTCTCCCTCTCTCTCTCTCTGCCCCTCCCCTGCTCACCCTCTATCTCTCTCGCTCTCTCTCAAAACTGAATTTAAAAAAAATCTTTTTGGGAATGTTTATTTTTGAGAGAGAGACAGAGTACGAGCAGGGGAGGGACAGAGAAGAGAGGGAGACATAGAATCCGAAGCAGGCTCCAGGCCCTGAACTGTCAGCACAGAGCCCGATGCAGGGCTCGAACCCACAAACTGTGAGATCATGACCTAAGCCAAAGTCAGACGCTTAACCAACTGAGCCACCCAGGCGCCCCCCAAAAAAACTTTTTAAATAAATAAATAATAAATTTTTAAAAAATAAAATATCTCATTAATGGCTCTGTACTGACTACATGGTGAAATGGTCACAGCTCAGGTATACTTAAGTAACTAAGATATGCTATTAAAATTACTTTTACCTGTTTCTTTCTCCTTTTCTGATAAGGATACTAGAACATTTGAAATTACACATGAAGTTCACATCATATTTCTACTGGACGGGGCTCTTGTACATAACTGTTATTTTTATGCATATTGTTTACGTCTGCCTCCCATACCAGAATGTTCCCTGCTGCATCCCCTGCTGTATCCTTAGCACATCACCCGACACTTAGTGGAGGCTCACGGTCAAGTAGATGAGTGCGAGAACGAGGTCTGCCAGGGGCCCCAGGCAGGGCAAGGACCCCCCCACTCACCCTCTCCGTTGGCATCTGCTTCGTGTTCTGACAGGGTCTCGACGGAGCCATCCCACCCCACGCCAGGTCCTGGGGGTGCACAAAGCAGCCAATGGGCCATAGGGACTAGAGCGGAGGAGGGCGGGGCTCGTGGGAAGACCCAAGGGACAGGAGGGAAGCCCCCTGGGCCTCGGAGCTGGGGAGCTGATAAGGAGCAGGGACCCTCGATGGTCACCTTTGCCTCGGGAGCTGGGTGCCCCGAGAAGGCCGGGCCTGCGCTGGCGGAATCGTTGCCTGGGGGTGTCCCCAGGGCTGAATGATTCCGAGCTCCGCCCCACAGGGAATCGAGAGCTGAGTTTCCTCCGCTGCCCCCCTGCCAGGGTCTCATCCCGCAGGCAGAGAGAGCTCTGGGCTCTGCGCATGGGTGCCGGTGAAAGGGACCCTGCAAGAGGCACAGGTAGGGTGTCGAGCCAGGAAGAAAGGGGGTGGGCAGAGCACAGAGGCTGGCGGGGTGAAACTGCAGAGGAGGAAGAGGAGACTGAGAATGCAGAGGCTGCAGGGGTGGGGGGGGTGGTGGGCAAGGTCTGGGTGAATGAGGGTGGGGACAAGAGGCTGGACCCTGTGCTGGCTCTGACACTAACTCACTGTGTGACCTCGGGCCAGGCACGTTCCCTCCCTGGGCCTCAGCTGCCTCATCTGCTGACTGGGATAAATGACCTGTCACTAAAGTCCCCTGCTGCTCCGAGGTCCCGGGCACCGCCGTGGATGGGTGGCACTGGGCGGGTGGCAGCGCCGGCAGGAAGGAGGTGCCAGCTGAGACGGCTGGGGCGGGGACAAGCCACGAGAAGCCTCTGGGTGGGGCAGGGTGGCATCAGGGAAGACCAGAGGGGGGTGGGGCGCAAGCACGCGAGCTGAAGGGAGACACTGGGGTGGGGATGGGAGACGCGAGGGAGGGACCATCATGGTCGCCCGGCCCCCAGACCCACCTGTCCCATCTGCCTCCCTGCCCTTGGAGAGCTCCGTCTCTGGGGGGCCCCCCAGGCTCTCGGTGCTGCCAGCCCCATCGGCCCCCAGGCGCGGCCCCCCATGGAGGCCCCCCTCCCGCCGGGGCCGCATCAGCCTCTTCACCTTGTCTGCCAACCAGCTGCCCTTCCTGGGGGCAAGAGGGCACAAGACGGGGTCAGGCCAGGGAGGAAGGAGGGATAAGAAGGGATGCTGGGGGATGGCAAAGGCCTGGGGAGGGCAGGGCAGGGGCGGGGGTTGGGGGATCCCCGGCTCCCCGGGGGTGGTGGGGCCCCTCACTTGGTCCGGGGCAGGGGCCCAGGCTCCAGCACTCGGTACTGGTCCATGATCTTCTCCACCAGCTTCTGTTTCTCACGGCGCAAGGCGTTCAGCTGGTCCCTGGGAAGATGGGGGGCGGGGTGCAGAGAGGCGGTGGGAGCAGAGCTCAGGCTTTAGCAGGTGCGCACTGCTACACCTCTGCACGGCTACACCTCTGCTGGTCGTTCACACACAGACACGCTGCCACGTGGGATAAGTTGCTGCTGCCCCAAGCCCCAGGCGGTCAGCCCCGGCCCCTCCCCTGGATGTTTCCCCAGGACCAGCCAAAGGGGTCTGGGGCCCCCCCCCGTTCCATCTCCCCCCCCCAGCCCTGCTCACAGGTACTCCCGCTGCTCCCGGTGCAGGTGATCTCGGCTCTCCAGGCTGCGCTCCAGGAGTTCCCGGTTCTCCCGGCTCAGCGCCTGCACCTCAGCCAGCAGCTGCCGGTTCTCCTCCTCCTGGGCGCTCCGGAGCTCGGTCAGCAGCTGGGGCGGAGGGGTGGGGGGAGGCGGCAGGGCAGGCGGGAGATTTAACGGGGCTCAGGGAGGCTACCTTCCACCCCCTGGCCCCCTCCCCCTCTCCGGCCCCCCAGCCAGCACCCCCCACACACAGCCGCCTACCCCTGACCACACCTCGCACTGCGTGGTCAGCCGGCAGGCGCTCAGGTCCAGCTGCTGGTTGGACTCCCGCAGCCGCTGGCTCTGCACCTCCAGCTGCGCGCGCTCCAGCTCCAGCCGCGCCAGGCGGCCCCGCAGCTCCCCGCGTTCACCCTGCAGCTCGCCTCGCTCCCGTGACACCTCTGCCAGCAGCATCTGAGCCCTGCCGAGTCCGTCCGGAGGAGAGGCTCACCCAAGGGCACTCAACCCCCTCCCGGACCCCTCCCAAGGGCCAGAGAGGCCACGCTGGGGGCGGGCGAGGGGAGCCACGCAGGACCCCACGCGGACGGTGCCGCACATGCCAGCAGCCTGCTTCGCAGACGGGCACGGGGAGAACGGGGCCTGGCCGGGCCGGGGCTGCTACCTGTCGTGCTCACTCTGCAGCCTCCGCAGCTCCTCCTCCAGGCCCCGCTGCCGGTGCCCGTCCTGCATCAGGCGCTCTCGCTCCGCCAGCAGGGCCACCTCCTGCGCCTCCACGTTGGCCCTCTGCGCCTGCAGCTGCTCGTGCCTGGGAAGTACCGGGTCGAGAGGGTTGCAGGGGCCGGGGGCCAGGGCGAGCAGGTGCCTGGACTATCTGGACCCCGGAGCCTGCCATTCTCCTAAGCACAGAGGCCTAAACAAAGCCATAGGGCAGAATGCCCTGCGAGGTGCCCCCCCCCCCAGTGACAAATGGGCCTCACCGCAGAGCCCAGCCACACGTGCGGGCATAGCAGCAGAGGCAGAGGTGTTGGGTGGTGGGACTTCCCTGGGGGGTCAGGGTGGGCAGGGGATGCTGGGGGGAGAAGTGGCGGGGTGGGGGGGGCTCACCGGCCCTGCAGCTCCCGGTGGGCCAGCTCCAGCGCCCGCATGTTAGCCTTGAGGTCGCGGTGCCGCGCCAGCAGCCCCTCTAGCTCGGCTTCCTGCCGCCGCTGCAGCTGCGCCAGGGCCTCGTGGTCCCGAAGCAGAGCCTGCTGCTGCCCCCGGGTCTCCTCGTGGGCCTGCCGCGCCGCCCGCACCTCCTCCTCCAGCACCCCCAGCTTCCTGTGCAGCTCCTGGCCCTGCATCTCCAGTACAGACTTCTCAGCCTAGGTCAGAGGAGGAAGGGGCGGTCCCGGGCCAGAAAGGGGGGGTAAGGGACGGGGGAGCAAAAGCAAGGCGCAGGGCAGAGGATACAGTGACAAGTGTGGACAAGGCAGAGGGCTGGAGTGGGGGCAGCAAGGAGCAGGAAGCAGGGGCAGAAGTGGCTGGGAAGGAGGGGGGAGGGTGCTGGCGTCAGGCCGTGGGGGGCAGGGCAGGAGGCACAGGGCAGGGATGCAACCGATGGGGCAGGGAAGGTGGTAGGGACAAATGGCTGGCTGTTGAGAGGAATGGAGCTGAGCAACATAGCACAGGTGTGAGGGCCAGAGGCAGGCAGAAGGGGGTAGGAGCCGGGGAAGAAGAGCCAAGGGGAAGGAGCAGGGGAGAGGAAGAGGAGTGCACTGGGGCAGCTGGGGTCAGAGAGTAGGGATTCTGTAACTAGAGAGTGGGTAGGGGCAGCCGGCGGGGAACACCATCAGAGAAAAGGGCAGGGAACAACAGAAAAGCGGCAGGCGGCAGGGGTGAGTGGGCCCGAGGCAGGGCAGGGGAGAAGGCTGCGGGGCCACCACCCACCTGCAGGCGGCTGCTGTGCTCCTGCGCCCGCTGACTCTGCAGCAGGAGCTCCTGGGCCCGGCCCTGCAGGCTGCCCAACTGCCCCTCCAGCTGCTGCAGCTGCCCCTGCAGAGCCACCTTCTCGGCCACCAGAGTTGCATTCTGCCGGGAAGGGGGGGGGGGGGTGCGGGCGGTCAGCAGGGGCCAGGCCACAGGCGCCGCCCCTCCCCGGGCCCTCCGTGCGGCAGTTGACACTCACGCTGCGCTCCATCTCGATGAGCCGCCCGCTCTGGGCCCCCGGGGTCCTCCGCTCATCGGGCCCCTCCGGCCCCAGCCCTACCGGGCCCTGGCGCAACTGGAAGGAGAGGCCTTGGGAGGTCACGCGGGGTGAGGGGCATGGAGGGGGCCTGAGGATTGGGCAGGGGACCCTCACCCGCTCGGCAGCACCTGACACGGCCCCCAGCCCTCCGCTCCCAGGGTCCTGCGCTCCTGGCTCGAGCGGGTGCAAGGGTCACGCTCCATTCTGCAGCACAGCCTGGCCTCCGCCCTCCTGCCCAGAACACCCTTTCCACCTCCACTCTTCATCGGGGCCCCAGCGTCAATGCCACTTGTCCCCAACCAACCCTCCGCGGACCCACCAGGTGGCCTGCAGGGTGCCCCCTGTTCCTTGACATCCTGTGTTAGGGTGGCCTGGTTCGTCGCCCGCTGTGGGGACCCACCACACCCCTGAGCTGAGCCCTGAGCTGCAAGTCCTTGCACACGGGGACCTCAGAAACAACGGCTGACTTAGAACGACAGGGACTGGGCTCGCTAGGAAGCGGTGATGCCCGAGAGACACAGAGCCGCCGCTGCTGCTCGCTGTCCGTTGGAGGAATGGGGGAATCAAGGCCCTCCAGAGAACCACATGGCCTGGGCAGAGCCAGCCAGCCAGCCTGACTCCCGGCACAGTGCTCCCCCCATAGGCCCAAAAAGGGGCACAAGGCAAGGGGGTGGCCAAACCCCAAGGGGCAAGACTAGAGGGGGCCTGCAGGGACGGGATGGGAGCGCACACCCAGCCCGGGGGGTGGGGAGGGGGGCAGGGGTGGAGAGAGAGGTGGGGCGAGGTGCGCAGGGGCGGGGGGTGGCGGGCCTCACCCGAACCAGCTCCTGTTCCAGCTGCTGGGCCCTCGTCTTGAGCTCCCTCAGCGCCTCCTCCTTGCTGGTGGCCGCCGCCTGCAGCTCAGCCTCTAGCCGCTGCTCCAGGCCCTGGTACCTGCCGGGAGAGGCCTTGGCACCCACCCTTCCCTGAGCCCTGCCCACCCCTCTCTGCCCCTTGGGCGGCACCCCCACCTCTGCTGCTGGATCTCCTGTTCCCGCTGAAACTCCCGGCGCTCCAGAGCCGCCTGTGCGAGCTCACCCTGCAGCTGCTCCAGCCGGGCCCCCAGCTCCTGGCCGCGCAGCACAGCCTTCTCTAGCTCCTGCGGGCGGGCGGGCAGACAGGCTCAGAGCCGGGCAGACCACCGTCCTCGCCCCGGGGGCAGAGGAGGCCTCCGAGGACCGAGTCCCTGAAGACCGAGCTTGCTGCCCTTCCTCAGTCACCCTGGGTAAATGTCTGGTTTGGTTTTTTTTTTTAATGTTTTTTATTTACTTCTGAGCGAGAGACAGACAGCATGAACAGGGGAGGGTCAGAGAGAGAGAGGAGACACAGAATCCAAATCAGGCTCCAGGCTCTGAGCTGTCAGCACAGAGCCCGACGCGGGGCTCGAACCCACGAACCGTGAGATCATGACCTGAGCCGAAGTCGGACGCTCAACCGGCTGAGCTACCCAGGCGCCCCTGGTTTGTTTTTTTTAAGTAGCCTCTCAAGACCCTGAGATCAAGGGGCCACGCTCTACCAACTGAGCCGGCCAGGCGCCCTGCCCTGGCGAGTATCTTCTACCCTTTGGGCCTCTACCTACCCCCACCCCCATCTGTAAAATGGGAGCGAGGCCTGGCCGCCTTGCAGAGTGACTACTAAAGAGCTGGGGATCGTAAGCCTGGCAGTGGGCGAGGAAGGCCTCTGGTCCAGAGGTCAGAGACACTCGCCCGGCAAGCGTCTTTACCTCTCTGAGCCCTCGGTTCCTCAGGCGGCCAGGAACAGCTAAACATGCCTTACGTGAGGAGGCCACACTGGCCATGTGAGGGAAAGGGGGGCTTGAAAGAGGCAGATCTGAAGAGTGCCCTCAGCCACACAGAGATGGCTGCAAGGATGGGGTGCGGTGAATGTCAGACCCAACCACGGTGGGAGCTGGGGGGTGGGGAGAGGCACCACAGGCTGGGCTGGGCCGGGCCAGGCCAGGCATCCTGTGGCGGTTGGGCCGCACCATTGTGGAAGGGGGCAGGAGGCCCACTGTGGCCTGTGGGCCTCAGAGGGAGGTAGGCCAAACCATTCTGGGGGCGGGGGGAGGGGCTGTCAGGATGAAACCACAAGGAAGAACCAACTCCGACCAGCTGCCTACAAAATCCTTGCTCTGGAAACCAAGTCTACTGCCTTTGCTCTGAGCTTCCGGGCTTTGCAACCCCACCCGGTCTCCCCCAGTGTTTGCTGAAAAACTACAAGTCCCATGAGGCCTTGCTGCCTGTTGCCCCCCCACCACCACCATTACAGCCCAAAGGCTAAGGGTAGGAAGAACAGTGATACAGATGAAAGAGGCTTGAACCTCTGAACCGGCCCCCTCTGGGCCCTGACCACAGCCCTCGGGTGCCCTGCCCCCACCGCACCTCCTGCCCTCTACCCAGCCCGCCTGGGCAAGCCCTTTGGCCCCTGGGTCCCTGACCTCCCCTTGGCTAGCCACCTCCTCCCACACCACACCCAGTTAGCACCAGGAACCGCTCTCCACCAGGAAACCTCACCAAATTCCCCTTTGCCCTCAGGCCCTTCCACCCTGTCAGTCCTGAGGGCCAGCTCTTCCAGCCCCCGCCCTTGCCAGCCCTCCCCTCCCCTCCCCTGCACTGCCTACCCACCTGCATTCACTCCACAGCTGCCCCCAGCCCTCTACATTCATTATCTGACAGGATCCTATGAGGCACGCCATTCTGACTCCAGTTTTGCAGGTGAGGAAACCGAGAGCCAGAGAAGTCAAGTAACTTGCGCCTAACCACACAGCGGGGAGGCAGGGCATCTGGGCTATAAGCCAGGTCCGCCTGACAGCTTCTCTCAGTCCCATCCTGCAAGGTGGGCCCCCCGACGCAGCTTCTCGGCCTTGCCTCTCACCCACACCCCTGTGCTCGCGTTCCCCAGGCCTGCCCTGCACAGCGCCTAGCCCTGGGTCAACCCCACAGTGTGTTCCCCACTCTTCTCCTTCACTGGGGTCTCCCAGGAAGTCACTCCTCCCCGAATCCTGGTGTCCTCTGTACAACAGGGATGAAACCGGAAACTGTGCTCAGCTGGAAGTTTCCATTCCTCGTCTGCAGCCCACCCTCCCCTGTGGCACAGGCCCCCACTGGCCCCAACACCCTTCCCCTTGTCTCCTAGCCTCCTCCGCTTCCCCCCCCGCCCCAGGGGCCTCTCAACATAACTACTCTGCTCCCCCTCCACCCTCCACTGGGTTTAAAGGTCATGGGCCTCCCGTAAAGGTCATTGAGGTCATCTTCTTCACAGGAACAGCCGCAGCTCTTAGTTTGAAAGGAAGATAGAGGCCCTGCCTAGCAGGAACACTGCTTTGTGAATTCTCTGCCTAGCCTCCCTCCACTTCCCACCTCACACCCCACCCCTACACGGTTGTGCGCCTGAGCCGCCTCCTGGCTCAACTGCCATTCTATCTCCTCCTCCAGGAAGCCTTCCGGGACATGCCGCAGCCTAAGTCCAGTGTGCTTCCTGGACTCCCGCAGCTCCCTGCACAGTCCTGTCTCCACCCTAGACTGTGAGAGCCCCCCGCCCCACCACCAGTATGGGCATACTGGCTGCCTGGCACAGCACCTGGTGGCAAGGAGGTCCCCGTCAACGTGCTTGAGTGCACAAGTGAAGGGGTTTCCAGGTTTTCTGTCTCCTCCATCCCCCGTCCCAGCCCCAGCAGGCCTCACCTGCCACCAGGACCACTGGCACCACCTCCTGATGGCCCCAGGGGACACCAGACGGACACACCAAGGGGACCCTCCTCAAACCCAACCTCACACAGGTTTGGCCACATGCTTGGGTGGCTCTCCCTGCCTGGGGCCAGACTATTGACGCCTGCAAGGCGGGCCCTGCTCCCCCCCCTCCACAACTCCCAGCATCATTAATGCCTTCATGTCTCTGTACATGCTGTTCCCTCTAAATGAAATGTCCTTCCCACCTGCTGGAACCTTGACCTTTTCTCAGAACCTTCTCCAGAGCCTCCTTGCCCCGGCCCTGGCACCCTCTCCCATGGACTCCTGCACACTTTGCTCTTAACAATCACCACGTCTTGAGCCTTCGATGAACATGAACTAGGCTCGTTACACCTTGATGTCCCTTGATATTTCAAAAGACCCCCTGAGACAGAAGAGTGCCCCCATTTTACAGGCGGAGGAATAGGGCGGATGTGAGTTGGAGAGCCAGGATTTGCACCCGGGCAGTCTGGCTCCATACCCATACTCTTCTCCCCTCCGGCAGCTCACCCCACCAGAGGGAGGGGACACCCGTCCTGTGACCCAGGTCAAGCGCACCTTCGGAAGGCAGAGCTGGACTTTATCTCTCCAGCCCCGACCCCAGCCAGGTGCTGGGCACTCAGTGGTTACTGATGGGATTAAAAATCCAAACGCCAGCAACTGACTCAGCTCCCCGTTTCCTACGCCCGGCTGTGAGCCCCAACATACCTCCTTGAGGGCCTGCCTCTCCCTGTCGGCCTCCTGCAGCCGCTGACGGCCTTCGCTCTCCAGCACCTGCAGCCGCTCCTCGGCGGCCTCGGCCCGGGCCCTCAGTCTGGGCCCCTCGCGCTCCCACTGCCTCCGCTCTCGGCCCGACGCCGCCAGGGCCTCCGCCAGGGCCTCCCGTTCCCGCGATGCAGCCTCCAGCTCGAGGCCAGCTGCCTCCACTGCGTCCCGCAGCCGCGCCTGCTCCCGGGCCTGCGCCTCCACCTCCCGATGGGCCTCGGCCTCTGCCTTCTGTGCCTGAGCCAGCTCCTCGGAGAGATGAGCCGCCTCCGCGCCTCGGGCCTCCAGCCTCCGGGCCTGGGCCTCTAGCTCCGCTCTGAGGGCCTCGGCCTCTCTCCTCAGCTGCGCCACCTCCGCCCTCAGGGCCTCCTGCTCCGGGACCCCGCCAGCCGGGATCTCCCCAGGGATCGATCCTTCCCAGGGCTGGGGCTCTGAAGCCCCTTCCGACTTCTGCTGCAGAGTCTGCGGGGCTGGGTCCCCAACCCTCCCCTCCAGCTTCGGGTCATGCGGCCTGGCCTCTATCTGCCCCTGGGGTAGGGTCGGCCCTTGGCCTGGGGTCTCCTGCTCCTCCAGTTGCGCACAGGGGCCGAGCTCCGAGGGTCCAGGCTTGCTCGCAGGGCCCCCCTGTCTCCGCACCTGGACTTCAGGCCCTGACTCTCCAGTCTCTCCTCCCAACAGCTCAGCCTGAATTACAGGCCCTGGAGCTTGAGGTGGGACCACAGAGGCGGGAGTCTGGACAAGGGCTCCGGGGCCAGCCTCCTCTGGGGACTCCTGGGTCGCTACAGCAGGCCCCGATCCCTGGAGGGTCAAGTCTGAGGCCTGAGGGGCCATGGCGGCCATCTGGAGGGGCCTCCCCATCACCTGTGGGCCTGAGTCCAGTGCCTGGGGACACACAGGTAATCTCTCAAGGGCCGAGTCTGATACGGGCGGAGCCAGGTCCAAGGCCTGGGTGCCTTCGTCCCCGACCTGGCTGGCCAAACCCTGGGGGCCACGGTGTGAGGCCAGGCAAGCCTGGGGAGCCCCATCCGGCTCTGGAAGCAAGGCGTCCTCGCTCTGCTCCTCCAGCAGGGGGTGCTGAGGGCACATGAGAGGACCCGTCAAGCCCAGAGGAGGAGGCAAGGAAGGACCTGTTGGATGGCTGGGGGAGGGGACTCACCTGGCCACCAGGCTGCCCCTGTAGCACCTGTAGCAGGTCCCGAAGCTCCTGATTCTCCCTCTCCAGGGTCCGCAGCCGCCCGGCCTCTGCCTCTCTCACTTCGTCGTGAAGGGACGGAGCTGCTCCGGGTGGGGGTGCTGGGACACGGGCGATGCGGTCAGGACCCCCTCTGTACCCTCTGCCATGATCCCTGGCTCCTCGCATACACCCCTGCACACCCGCCCCCCCTCCAGTGTCTTGGGGAAAGGATGAAGTGGGCAGCCAGCCCCACCAGAGCTGCAGGAAGACACAGGCACCCGCCCCCCCAGACCCAGCCCCTCCTCGGGGGCCCTACGCACCCTCCCCAGGAGAGCCCAGGGGTGGCTCCAGGCTCCGCTGCAGCTCCAGCTCCAGCTCCACGTTCTCCTCTGCCAGCCGGTCCACCTGATGCCGCAGAGAGTCCAGCTCCTGGGGGGAAGGACAGGGTCAGACAAGCCCTCCTCCCCACGGCCGGGCCAAGGGTGTTGGCTAGATCACGAGGGGGAAAAGGGAGTAGGGGTCACGGGGAGCACTGGAAAACCCTGTGGGGACGGTGGGGGGTGCCAGGGGTCACCGATGACAGAATGACTGGGGGTCACTGGGGCAGTCTCACCGCATGGGCCTCGCCCAAACGGGTCCGCAGCAACAGGTTCTCACGCTGGGTCTCGTGCAGCCGGGCACAGCGCTCTTGAGCCACCTCCAGCTGCTCCTCCAGGAGCGCCTTGGAGGCTTCCAGAGCTCCCGAGAGCGCCCGTTCCTCCTGGTGGGAGAGCAGAGACAACCTGTGGTGGTTGACCTTGCATCCCAGGCCCCACCTCTCCCTTCCATCTGCCCCTCTCTCTCCAAGCTCTCCAGGGACCACTTCCCTAGCACCTGGCCCCGCCCCCTCCGTGTAGGCCCCGCCCCCTTCTCGTAGGCCCCGCCCGTTCCCTCCCAGAACCTCCTCCCACGGAGGCATCCTTCTAGGATCCTCTGCCAGGGGCTCACCCCAGACAGCTCTTCCCCCACACTCGTCCCCTCCAGGACCTACCCCTCCCTGCCGCCCCCACCTCTCCCCTCCTTCTGTCCCATCCTCCAGAAGGCTTTGCTCCAGACACCACCTCACCCATTTCTCCCAGCGAGGAAGACCCAGCCCTCCCTCCTCCAGGCCTGGCCCAATTGGCTCCCGCTCCTGGCCCACCCGGTCCCCCGCAGACCCCACCTCCCGCCTCACCTCCAGCTGGCTTTTGCAGGCCTCCGCCGCCTGCAGCCGCTCTCGGCAGCGTCGCAGCTCCTCCTGCAGGCGGGGCAGGCGGCCGGCCCGCTCCCGCAGCGCCTGGACCTCCTCGCGGTACAGCTCGGCCCGCTTGGCCTGCCCCGACAGCGCCTGGGCCTGAGCCAGACGGTGCGGAGCTGGGGACGGCCAGCCGCCGCCCAGGGGGATCAGGGAGGGGAAGGAGCCCGGTGGCGGCAGGCAATGGGACAGAGGAGGCGTGGGGAGAGGGCTGGGGAATGCGGCGGCCGCGGGGAGCATCTGAGCGCACCTCCTGGCGGAGCCTTCGGATCTCGGCCTCCAAGCCCTGCACCTCCTCCTGGGAGTCTAGCAGCAGCTCGGCCTTCTCCTCCCTGGAGAGAAGGGGCGCTGGAGGGGCGTGGGAACCCGGATCCCCCAGGCCTGATCCCACCGACTCCGTCCACAGCCTAAGCTGTCCCGCTCCCTCCTGGTCCACCGCCCAGCCTGGGGCACTCACAGCTCCTGCCGCAGGCGCCGCAGCTGGGCCTTGGTGTTGGCCAGCTGCAGGCCCAGGTGGTGTGAGGGGGCCTCTGGAGGAGTCCTAGCAGGGGTCTCGGGCAGCAAGGGGGACGCCTGTCTCTCCAGCAGCAGTTCAGCCAAGCGCTGTGGGAAGTCAAGGGTCAGGAGCCAGAAATAGCCCAGCCCATGCCCCCCACCCCCAGTCTGGCTCTTGCAGCCCTGCTGCTCCAAGACCCCACACCAAACCCACATCTGGCCCCAACCCCCATGGCCCCTCACATCTGGGTCCCCAGGGTCCTCCAGCTGTTGGCGAGGCCCCCTACCTGGGCCCCCACATCGCGCTCCCGCGCCAGCCTTAACAACGTCCCCATCAGGCTCCGGAACAGCACCTCCAGCTCCCGGGACTCCAGCTCCCCAGGCTCCCGCCCAGCCAGCGCCAGCACCACACCGGCCCCAGGCTGGGTCACCTGGACCAGGTAGGAGCAGCGGTTCAGGTTCAGCAGGGAGTGCCCCCAGGTGGCAGGGCCAGCCCCAGGCTGTGGACCAGCCCCAAGTACCTCCTGGATGGCAGCAGCCAACTCGCTCTGGACTTCAAGGCTGAGGCCCTGGATGTGTCGGATGAAGAGTTCCCGGTGCTCGCACTGCAGGGACACGGGGTGGACAGGCTGGCACGGGGTCTCGCCCACCTCTGCCACCAAGGCCGAATGCTCCCCTCCCCTCCCCTGCTCACCTGCACTGACGCCCCCAGCAACAGCCGAAGGATGCCCTCCAACTCCTCCACTGCCTCCTCTGCTGAGCACAAGCCACAGAAAGTTAGGGGTGTGGGGAGAGGGTAGAAGCAGGAAGGGGTGGTGGGAGAGAGCACCTGAGAAGGGGTCAAACCCCAACGTCTGGAGGTCTGGGGGTGGCGACAGGATCAGCAGCTGCAGCTCCTCCTGGGGGCAGAGGGGACAAGGAGATAGGAGACTGGCCTTCCCACAGGGCTGAGGCTCGCCCTTCCCTCCCCACCCCCTCACCTGGTAGAAGTCCCTCAGACGGCCCCACAGGTGGTTCAGGTTGCGCACTCGCCAGGCTGCGGGGCCATCGTGGCCCCTGACCGTCTGAGGTCCCCCTCGGGAACTGGGAACTCTGTGGGCACAGGGCACTGGGTGGGAGGGGCAGTCAAGGATCCACCTACCCCGACCAAGCCTCACCCACCAGCCCTCAAGCTCCACCCACCAGCCCTCAAGCTCCACCCACCAGCCCTCAAGCTCCACCCAGCGGGGGAGGGGGGGGAAGGGGCCACCTCAGACCCCCAGGCTCACTAGATGCTTCTTACACGATGCCCAGCACCCGGAGCAGCAGGGCCCCATCGATGAGATGCAGGAACCTCTTCTCCGGGCAAAGGGGCCCCTCTCCTTCCTCCTCCTCTTCCCCCTCAGGCTCCTCCGCCTCTCCCACCAGGCTGGCCAGTCCCAGCGCCTGTAGGGGAGTGGAGACAGGTCAGCCGGCCCGGTTAGGAACTCCCCTACCGGTAGAGTGACCCCCAAGCCCCTTTGACCTGCCCGCCTAAGCCCATGCAGCCTCCTCCTCACCTCTGCCCGGAACGCCTCTGGCCCCTGGGTCTGGACCCTTTTTTCTGCCCTATAGCTGCATGGGCTTCTTCAGCCCCACGTTCGAGCCCACCCCTGCCCTCAGGCCCCGACTCTGCCAGACCCTCCCCCAAACCCAGCACCAGCCCCTCCCCCCGCTGCTCACTTCCCCTTCCCACACCCCTCCCACCTGCCCCCTCACCCAGGTGGCCAGGCTCCCACTCAGGAAGTCTCTGAGTCTGGGCCCCTCGCCCCCATCCATGACAGGGTCAGGGTGTTGGTCCCGCTGTGGCAGCTACACCTGCCCCAAGAGGAAGAGGAAGTCCCCTGGTCGGGGATCCCGGCCCGGCCACAGACACCCTGAGCAGCTTCCTCCTTCCGGGTGCAGGCGGGCCTGTGCGCCCCCACAGTCCTGCTTTGGCCCCCACCTCACCACCCCACATCCTCCCAGCATCTCCACAGGGCCAGCCCAGGGCTGGCAGGGGAAGGTGGGGTCAGGGCCACGCTGGGGTAAGGCCCCCAGCTCTCTAGGTTCTAGGTTCGAGGAACAATGGCAGGTGAGCCCTCCGCCTCTCTGGAAACTTCAAACCACAGAAGGGGACCTCGACCTTGCATCCTCCAGGGCCTCTGTGAACCTGATGGCAGATGCCACCGACCCACTAAGTCTCCTCTGGACCCCAGCCCGAAATGAGAACCCCCTCCTCTGACCCCACCCTCCCCCATTCTCTGTGCACCCTGGATGCACAGAGACAGGATGCCTGGGCCGTGGCCATGTGACCTCCCAGGCCTCAGTTTCCCGGCTGCAAAAGAGGTGGCTTGGACTCCAGCCTCTGGGGGAAGACATAGCAGCAAATGTCTCAGACGGACAGGCCAGGAGGTCACCCCAGCTCCCCCACTGCTCACGACGGAGCCTCCGTTCATTCTTTCATTCACCGGCTCCGAGCCGGACACTGCTCGGTGCCGCCATGGAGTAAAAGCCACATAGTCCCCACACCAACAGGCCTCACAGTACACCGGGGAGGCAGCCACCCCCCCCCAAATTACACATGTGCTCAAAATGTAGCACTGCAGCCCTACTACGTGTGTAGACAGCGAAGGGACTGACCTCCTGGGATGGTCAGGGAAGGCATAGGGGGTGGGGGTGGGGGCTACTCGAGGAAGCTGAGATCAATGGGGAGAGGGGTGACCAAGTTAAGTAGGCAAAGTGGGGAGGCAGGGAGAGAGCAGGGACAGGAGGTGCAAGGGTCCTGCAGCAGCCTGAAGCCCAGCCAGAGCCAAATTCAGGAATTATTCATGTGCTATCAATTCCAAGACACTTTATTGCTCACGTTTACATCTCTGAAGTCAGGTTACATCGTCGCGGAGTGGCTTTCTGGCTGGCTGCTGTCCCAACACAGTTGTCACCACCTGCATGCGCCCACACTTGAAAAGCATCAAACCCTGCAGCAGCTTGGAAGAAAGCCCCGGAGACAAGAGCTGAGCACTCCCTGAACCCCAGGATTCACATGGCGGGAGCCCCCCAGGGAGGAGAAGCAGGCTTGTCAGTAACGTTCCCAAAGAAGAAGTCGATTGCAGAGCCGGGCTAAGGTTTTCCCATCGTCGTATGGATGGCGGAGGGGGCCGCTGCTCTCCCTCCACCACTCTTGATGGCTCACTGGGGGACGTGGGAGCGACACACATAGGCGTCACGCCTCTGTAGGACTCTAAACATGAAGGAGTTTTCCAAACCCATAAATAATTTACTTTGTTTCTATTTTCATTTTTATGCGTGCTTCAGAATTATATATGATGAGAACCTATGTCTGAGTCAAAAAGAGTTCCTTCGGGAAGCATAAAATAAAGGTTCTCGTGATGAAAGAGCCTTGGGACATAGTAAACTGGCAGCATTCTTTTTCCCCTTAGTGGCATCTTTTACAATTGATGACATCTTATAGCTGATGAGATATGGGGTAATAAAAACAAAGCTTGGCAAACATAGGTTTACCACGAGCCGGTCATGGGTGCAAGTACTTTACACTAACTGACTACTCTATATTGGGCTAGTATGTAAAATGAGAACGAAGGCTTATCTCCAATTCACAGTGGAGGAAACTGGCATTCAGAGAGGTTAATAACTTGCCCAAAGCCACACAGCTCTTACGTGGTAGAACCAACCAAAAGAAGGCAGTGGGGCCAGCGCGTAAGGTCAAGGCGAGCCAGGTCTCAGCAGGCAGTGGGAAGCCATGCAAGGTTGTTAGCAGGAAAGAACAACCCACGGCTTAACACTCCTGAGGCGCATTTGGAAATGCAGATAATCCTCAAGGAGAGTTGGTATGAGGATCCCGCCAGCCGGTGCCCAGCTGCAGTGTTCATTAAACGGTCCCTGGTGTGTTGCTATGTTTAGTATTAATAATATCAAGGGTCCGTCCAGACTTGACCCCCTGTGAATCTTTCGTCGATTTGCATTCCCCCAAGGATTCCAGCCTGGGAAGTCCTCCCGGAGCACCTGCTCTGGGCTAGCCAGGCGCGGTGACTAGGCCCCGTCCCTGGTGGCGGAGGGGCCCTGGCTTGCTCAACATCTCCTGGTCACACCCTTCCTCCAGCCTCAGAGGCAGGGACCGTGTCACCGATTGCTTTCACATCTGTCACTCTACACATGCCTGGCTGCATCTCAGTCTGGTTCTCTGACTCGGTTCAGCTGAGTCAGGCAGAGGGGGGCTTTGCGGAGAGTGGAAGCTGGGGACGGGCTGCCTCATCAGAGGACAAAGAGATCCTGGGATCTCAAGGCTCAATTTGCGGTTGAGGGATGTTCATCGGAGCCCAGCAGGGGTCCCTTTCCTTTTTCCTTTGGCTGGATTTTTCCTGTAAAGTGTTTTTCAGGGGCACCTGGGTGGTTCCCTCATGAAGCGTCCGACTTCGGCTCGGGTCATGATCTCGAGGTTCACAGGTTCGAGCCCCACGTCGGGCTGTGTGCTCACGGCTCAGAGCCTGGAGCCTGCTTCGGATATTGTGTCTCCCTCTCTCTCTGCCCCTCCCCCACTCACGCTTTATCTGTCTCCCTCAAAAACAGATAAGCATTAAAAAATAAAAATAATAGGGACTGCAAACTGGTGCAGCCACTCTGGAAAACAGTGTGGAGATTCCTCAAAAAAATTAAAAATAGAACTCCCCTATGACCCAGCAATTGTATTACTTTGTATCTATCCTAGGGCTACTGGGTGTGCTGTTTCAAAGGGGCGCATGCACCCCAAAGTTCATAGCGGCGCTATCGACACTAGCCAAAGTATGGAAAGAGCCCAGAGCCCAAATGTCCATCAACGGATGAATGGATTAAGAAGCTGTGGTATAGATATACAATGGAGTATTACTCGGAAGTCAAAAAGAATGAAATCTTGCCCTTTGCAACTACATGGATGGAACTAGATAGATGGTATGATTAGTCAGAGAAAAGCAAGTATCACATAACTTCACTCATATGAGGAATTTAAGACATAAAACAGATGAACATACAGGAAAGAAAGCAAAAAGAATATAAAAACAGGGAGGGGGACAAAATATAAGAGACTCTTAAATGGAGAACACACAGAGGGTGGCTGGAGGGGCTGTGGGAGGGGGGTGGGCTACGTGGGTGAGGGGCATGAAGGAATCTACTCCTGAAATCATTGTTGCACCGTATGCTAACTCCCTTGGATGCCAATTAATTAATTAGTTAATTAAAAGAAAGAAAGAAAACGGAAACTGGCCCACACAAAAACTTTAAAAACCAAACAAATAAATAAAAGATGAAAAAATAAATAAGTAAAAATAAAAATAATACAGCTGCTTCAGACACATAATCAAGAATGTCAAGACCGTGTAAAGGTATAGAAAAGAAACCAAGTCTCCCCCTCATCACTGCGAACCCCCACTCTCTGACCTCCCCCGTTGGCATGTTCTGTGTCACTTCTGAGAGGCCCCTGCCCGCGTCTGTGACAGGTGGATACACACACGCAGGGCTGTGCAACTCCATGCTTCACAAAATATTTTACAATCTGCTCCATTTCTGTTCAGAACCTCTGGCCTTGGCCTTTTTCTTTTTTTTGAACCCCCCCCTTTTCAACATTTTATTTTTGAGAGCTAGAGAGGGCAAGCAGGGGAGGGGCAGAGAGAGAGGGAGACACAGAATCTGAAGCAGGCTGCAGGCCCTGAGCTACCTGTCAGCACGGAGCCCGACGCGGGGCTCGAACTCGTGTACCGTGAGATCATGACCTGAGCTGAAGTCGAACGCTTAAGGGACTGAGCCGCCCAGGTGCCCGTGGCCTTGGTCTTGTTAATGGCGATGTGCTATTCTACTGTGTTGCTATTCCATCATCACTTAAACTCTCTTGGTGACAAATATTCTAAGTATTTTTAGTGCTCTCATGGCTGCCCTTCTCAGATACCTTTTTCTGGCAGTTTTTGAGCGAGTCCAATACCCACGACTGCCGGTGTGGGGATCCATGGGAGGCGGCCGAGAAAGAGACAGACAGGTGGACAACGCAGCGGCAATCCCGTCCCTCGGGGCTCAGGCTCCCCGTCTGCACAGGGTAGGAGTGAGAGGGACTCCATCTCCCTGTTCCCTTCTGGTTTCGAACTCTCTGGATAGCCCTGATTCAATCCCAAAGGCCAGAGGCAGGAGGGCTCTGGCGCTCGAGGAAGCCGAGGCCAGGGGAGGCCGGGGCAAGTGGTGGCCAAGTCCAGCCGGAGCCTGGGACCCACCAGGGCTGAGTCCGAGGGCTACTTTTGCCCCCTGCCTGCAGCAGGCCCAGGGCCCCGAAGCAGAGACTCAGGGCCCCAAGCTCAAGAATTAAAACCAAAAAATAGCTTCCAGGGCCTTCTAGGAACCTGGCCCTCCGGTGATGGGGTTGAGGGACTCCCTCCCCCTCCCCCAAGTCTCTAAGAAGGGACTGTTTTCCTGGCTGCAGCCGTTTGGGGGTGGAAATCGTGGCGCCAGAGTTGGGCAATTGCAGAAATGCCCAGCAGAGTAGCGGGAACCAGGGCCATGGTGGGAGGAGCGGATGGAGGGCGGGACCCGGGGTCATCCACCCAGTGACAGGCCAGGTCCCCAGGGACTTGGGGAGCCACCCGCAGGACCCGCCCCGGCAGCTGTAGAGAGCAGTCCACGGTGCAGCCGCCCCCACTTGACACTTGGCTTGCTCTCCCCAGGGTGCCCTCCACCCCCCACGGTGGGGGGGGTGGCACTCACCCTGCCTCATTCTGAGACTCTCACCAAGCCAGACAGCAGCTCCAATCCTCCTCCGGACCGGCTCCACCCAGTGCCCAAGGAGTCTTTTGGAAATGCT